GTTCTTACGGTAATATAAGCATTCAATATTTGGCTTTATCATATGTGATAGTTCTTGGTCATTACAAAATTAACTTAAACGATGCTTAAATAGGAGAAATAGTCATACTTTTACTTAAAAACGAAGTCGAAAGGTTAAGTGCAATTGTTGATGGTGTCACCGCAAAGTTCGTCCAAAGGCACACACTCTCCAACTTTGTATCACAACAAGTAATTAACCTAATAACCTTTTAATTAAGCAAACATTTGACTTTTCACCCCTATAAATGCATGATAATTCAACCATCATCCTCACCAAAAACAATAAACTCTCCTTCCCTAATCAAAACCTACAAAAGATGGAGATCTCGAAAACCCTTCTGCTAGTGATTTCTCTTGTTGCTGCAACTTGTTTCTTGCACGCCAAGGCAGCTGAAGTTTACTGTGGCACCCCTTACACTAGATGTTACCGCAAGTACATTCAGTGTCCAGAGGAATGTCCAAGCACAACCGCTATGAACTCCAACAACAAAGTTTGCTACGCCGATTGCGATAGACCCACTTGCAGATCCCAATGCCGCAGTAAGCTTTTTTCGATTCCTTATTATAAAGTTCTCACAAATGTTTTTTGTGCTCTCTATTGTGTGTGTTTCAAGTAAGCACTCTCTATTGTGTGTGTGTTTGCAAGTAAGCACTTCCTTATTCCGCAGTAAGCACTCTCTATTGTGTGTGTGTTTCAAGTAAAAGATCATATGTTTTTGTATAGTGCGGAAACCGAATTGCAACGGGCCTGGATCGGCCTGTTACGACCCGAGGTTCATTGGTGGAGACGGCATTGTCTTCTACTTCCATGGAAAGAGCAATGAAGAATTTAGCCTCGTCTCTGACTCTGACCTTCAGATCAATGGTAGGTTCATTGGCCACAGACCAGCTGGTCGCGCCAGAGACTTCACATGGATCCAAGCTCTTGGATTCCTCTTCAACTCCCACAAATTCTCCCTCGAAGCCGCGAAAACCGCCACTTGGGACAACGAAATCGACCATCTTAAATTCACTTTCGATGGCCAAGATCTATCCGTCCCTGAAGAAACTCTCTCCACCTGGTTAGTATTCGATCAAGAACTCACTTATAAATACGTTTTCAAGAATCTTGAAACCAATATGTTTTCTTTTAAAACAGGTACTCACCAAACAAGGACATCAAGATCGAGAGAGTGACAATGAGAAACAGTGTTATCGTTACAATCAAGGACAAAGCAGAGATCATGATCAATGTAGTTCCAGTGACAAAAGAAGACGACAGGACCCACAACTACAAAGTACCATCAGATGATTGTTTTGCGCATCTCGAAGCTCAGTTCAGATTCTTCAACTTATCACCAAACGTCGATGGAATCTTGGGACGAACTTACAAACCGGATTTCCAGAATCCTGCTAAGCCTGGAGTCGCAATGCCGGTAGTTGGTGGTGAAGAGAGCTTCAAGACTTCTTCACTTCTCTCCAATGACTGTAAAACTTGCGTCTTCTCTGAATCACAAGCAGAGATTGATTCTGTTAAGTCAGAGATTGAATATGCAACTTTGGATTGTACTCGTGGAGCGTCAGCTGGATATGGAATTGTTTGCAGGAAGTGAGAAAGAATCATAAAAACTTGGCTTCAAATGTATAAGAATAATGCCACAGAGCAGTAGCTTCTGCTGGAGATTTCTCAAAGTATAATAATTAAGTGAAAGAAAAGATGTTGTATTTACTTATTATTTAGCTACTTTGTAATATATTTGTATTGTATCATCCATCCACCCAATGTTATTATCTTATTTTGTATTAACCTAAATCCATTGTTACAAATAATTCCAAATAAACACGTTAATCTACTGTGAAACAGTATATCTAATATTGTTTGGAAGAAGTAATTAAAAAGCGGGGATAGCTCAGTTGGGAGAGCGTCAGACTGAAGATCTGAAGGTCGCGTGTTCGATCCACGCTCACCGCATATTTGTGTTTTTTTTTTCTCTACACTGAAAACGACGTCGTTGCCTACTCAACGCATTTTTGTATTTTTCTCTCTACACTGAAAACGACGTCGTTGCCTACTCAATGAAAGTAAAAAAAAAAACAGTTGAGAAGATGAGTTTCTTGATCCCGTAAGATACGAGATTCATAATATAAACTGAATCGAGATTCTGATAAACAAATGTATACTTTAGAAACTTTATAAATTGATAGATGAATCAAAGAAAACTTGAATAAGTTAAATATAATCACATTCTGATTCTTGATTGCTTAAGAAAAATAACATCAGTACTCTCTATATTACAAAACAAATACACCCGTAAAAATTCGAAATAAATCATCTGAATGAATAATTTTGGATCCAGTCCAAAAAGAAGAGTTATCTTTTCTTTCTGTAAAATTTCAAAACAAACAATGTCTGTTTATCTTCTTCTTCTTCTACCTTCCACGAGGATGAACAAGCTGCGAAAACACAGCACTCGTAGTCGCATCTTCGGCGTCATCATCAGTCCCGGTCCCCGAATT